AGGCTCCTGGGGAGTCGCATCATCCATCTCTTTTTAATGACGTCAGAAGCGAGAAAACGCATGCTAAAAATTCCTGCAAAATACGTCGAGATAAACAGATATATCCACAAAACGACATTTGCGATCGATTAAGTACACCTCTAAAATACTCCGTACACTTTCGTTTTGTTCTAAAAATCAATAGATAATCGGAAAATTAATATGACAAGATAATGAGAAAATTAGGTTAGAAAAGACGATTGCACGTCACATTTATTTATTTTATAATTATCTGTTGATTGTTAGAACAAAAGGAAAGTGTACGGAGTATTTTAGAGGTGTACTTAATCGATCGCAAATGTCGTTTTGTGGATATATCTGTTTATCTCGACGTATTTTGTAGGAATTTTTAGCATGTGTTTTCTCGCTTCTGACGTCATTAAAAAGAGATGGATGATGCGACTCCCCAGGAGCCTTAAAGTGAATGTTATACAGTCATTATGGTTTGTACGAGCACATATAAGTTTAGTTACGACTTGTCGTATAATTGCATATTTATTAATAATAAATTCACCACGCGTACAACTGTTAATGACAGAGTGTAATATATCTATTAGTACAGCTATAAACTGGACAAATTTCTGTCGTGAAATAAATATTTTGTACAACCTACAGTTGTTTATTAGTTTGCTTATTCATTAAATTTCATAATTAATCTTACAGTTAATGCACAGTAGATTAACGATAACGATGTGCAAATTGGCGTTTCAAACAAAATAGTCGAGATCGATAAGGCAAAAGTAGGCCGTAGGAAGAACCACAAGGGATGTCTCATTATAGGACAGTGGATATTTGGAGGCATTGAGCGGAAAACGAAGAAATTTTTCATAATATCAGTTGAAAATTGAAAATCTGAGACACTAATACCAATTATTCGGCGTTATATTGCATCAGATAACATAATTTATAGTGACAATTGATCAGCTTACGATGCTTTACAATATGAAGAGTATACCCATATAACACAGCAATGTTGTAACTACATTGCAGTAATGTTATTTCGCAATATTGCGATTTCATTGCGAAATGTTGCTGCAACGTTGTTTTTGGGTTGCAGTAACGTTAAAATATCCGCTTTTTTAAATATTGCAACGCAATATTATAGCAATATTGCAATATAATAAATTTGCAATAATCCAATGTTATCGAAAATATTGATTAGTGTTGCATACAAGTTGCAGGAATTTTTTCTGCATCCATGCACTGAGAAAAAAGCGGTTGGATTAATAAAATTACATAAATATTTTATGCATATATCTCTAATTTCTTTTTTATTATATGAAATATTTGGATTAAATAGTTTATTTTTGTTATTGTATTGAATAATATTATAAGAGAATTATAATTACTGTTTCGGCTGCATATGGGGGTAATACAAAACACTTAGGCTGGTATTCATAGTGGGAGCGGTGCACTTGGACATGGTGCATTTGGACACAGCCAATCACAGCACCGTGTGATTAG